AAACTTCAACTGCGTGAAACACACAGTAGTATGAAACTTCAACTGCGTGAAATACACAGCAGTATGAAAATTCGGCTGCGTGAAACACACAAACTTCACGCATGCGTGGAGTGTATGGAGTGTACGGGAGTGATTCACGCAATGGTGCGAATCGTCACGGCCTATAATTTTTTTGTCTATTATCAAAAGAAGATGGGGGAAAAATAATTTACCTGTCCGTTGATTATTAGCTCCCTTCATCTTCATGCACCATTTAATAGTACTTGGACCAGCTTTCATTCTCTGACGTTGCTTTCTCTCCTCGAGTCTCCTCTTCAAATAATCTTTCAAATTAGAACCAGACTTTCCTGCATACAAAAGAAAAAAAAGAAAGGCCGATTAATATTACCCTTGCAATCAAGCATTACCTACCAGACCCTAGCAAGCTGTTCGATATTATCAAGTTTTTGTGCATAAAAAATAGATCAACCGAATGTCAAAGAAAAATGTGAGAACCAGCCGGCACAGGTGGCTGGTAGGACTTGGTCTACCTTCAAATAACATGTGCAATCTCATCATGCCTATATCTCCAGCACCGGATGGTCCAAAAACAGCCATATCCCCTCCATTGTCACAATTTTCTCTGGCACAGATTCTACAACAACCGCATTCAGCACAGCCGCTATCCCCTACGCCACAGCCGCATTCCCTAAGACATGAACATTATGAAATCCATCCATAAAAGACCACAACTTACAAACAGAATGGAGAAAAAAAAGAATGCTCACTGTCCAGGTCTTTTTGGATTGCGATTTGGTAGAATGCTGCTGAGGCATGATATACCGAAACCCGTGCATTCTCGACAAATCGTGCAGACCATGCAAGCCCTGTGCCTCCACTGATGTTGACCAGGTGGACACATACCTCGTGCTTCCTCCCACTCCTCAACCTGTTCACCTCCATCATCCTCAGCGACAATTAATTCGTCCTCACCAGTTCCAGTCTCCATAGCGACAACAGTCACCTCTTTATTGACACTTCTGGTAACAGTGAACTCCCTCCCACACTGTCCCTTATTATTGATGCCAAAAGTCCAGAGATGTCCCTTATCCGTGAGTACAGCAGCATGAGCCTTGCCAAGAGCAACTTTCTGGACGAATACTTCCTTGAGATCCGTTACCAAGCCAGTGGTGGGATCGCTGTGCAACGTATCCTTTCCAAACATCAGCAGAGAGCCCTCTTTAGTGACCAGAGCTGTTGATCCATTGTTGCATGCTGCATCAACAATAGACTGTCCCTCTGCCTTGAGCATTTTCTTTGGTTTTACTGGCTTCAATGGCCTCCGAACTTTCGAGCTATCTCCATCCTCCCCACGTCTTGCTGTGCCAGCAAACAACACTGTTCCATCTTCAATGACTAGGATAACATGCTGTCCATCGTGACCAGCAGCTATATGAATGACTCTCGAACTCTTTCCCAGTGGAAAATCAAGCCAACGATTTGGTCTTGTATTGCTCTTCATTCCAAGGGCATTTCCCTTGCCAGTATACAAGAGCTTTCCTGAGGCAGTTTTAAGCAGACTAAATTCTTTTCCCGCAGTAACCATAACAATTTCATCATCACAGGTTGGATTTAACGTGTGCACTGATTGCTCCTCATCGAAAGTTGCCCAACCAAAAACATCAACACACTTTCTAGCTAATTTCAAAGGTAATTCAGAAGTCACTGTCACTGGATTACTAAGTGTATTAATGGTACGAACAACGAAACCCTCGTCTTTACCAGCAGTTATCATTCCCAAATGTTCACCATCAGAAAACATAACAGACGAAGGCCAATCACGGCCCTCCAGAACCGCAATACCCCTCACTGCAAGAGTCTCCACATCCAGCTCCAACAACTCACACTGCTTCCTAGGAGCACATTTGAAATACAAAGAACTATTGGCATAGCCGAGCCATCCAATTTCCGTAGGATAAAAATCAGGCTTATGTCCATAGAGCTGCCCACCGACAGTCCCACCGTATCCACTTCCGATTTTCAATAATCCACGATTAGTGTGCAGGTACAGGTACTTTCCATCACTGACAAAACTCCTTCCATTTAATGTAACATTACTCATTTCACTGGGTAAACGAAGTTTGAAGGTATAAATTCTTGAATTCTTTGGAATACCACATGTTATCCAATCGGGTCTTGTGAGTTTTCCCAACAGAACTGCCTCAACACTTCTTTGAAGAGCTGTTAAAACACATGGCATTTGAATATTTTGAGTAGCTAGTGCTTTTGGACACATAAGTAGAGCAGCAATAGCAGCCAAAAGCCTTCCGGTATCCCCCCTAACGACAACGAGACTCAGCAAACAGGCACACGCAACTGCAGTCAGGTGTGTTCCATCATTGGCAACAGTTGACTCTGGCCCATGAGACGTAGCCAGATCCAACAGTAGATCAAACAAAGGATCGACCACATCCTCAGGTTCGGATTTTAGACCCTCGGGAAGTTGTCCTTGCAGTACATCCAACAAAGCGCTCAATGCTTTAGCACAAAGAACAGGCTCGATATTTCTACTCTCCCTAACAAGCATGAAAACACTTCTCAATCCAATGCCCACAATCTTTGGTAAACTCTGAGTCGATGATATCCTGTCCTCATCATCGCTATCACTTTCAATGGTATCACTGAGCTCCAAGGGCTGTGGGGAATTACAATTGGAAGCTCGAATAGTTTCACCGGCAATTCTCCCATTTTTCTCAAGTACTGTACTCCTGACACTCGAGAATACAGCAAATGCTGAGGCATTGCTGGACACTTCAATCTCTGGTGGACTCGTATAACTCAAGTCAGTACTGATGTCTAACTTCTTCTTGTCTCTTTTCTTGTTTAACCTAGCTTTTTTACATTTTTTCCAGTCGTTTTTCAACCTAAAAATTAAATTAAATTGAACGTTTGCTTCGTTTCTCCGCACCAAAATTTCCGCATCAAAAGAAAAAATTCTTGAATTGGAGAGCCTCGAAAATTAATAATAAAAACAGTTGAAAATCCGGTGTCAACAATTGTTGAAGTAAATAATGCAAAATCGTGTCTACTCTCATTTTATTTAACCTAGTTTTTTTTTTTCAGTCATTCCTCAATCTGGAATTCAATTAAATTAAACGTTGGTATTTTCGTTGAGGTTACGTATGAAAATTGAATGGAGATCAAATGAAAAAATTATTGGACTGAATAGCCTCGAAAATTATTCACAGAATCTGTTGACAATCCGACATCAACAATTGCCGTAAATAATGGAAAATCGAGTCAGTCATAAGCCACCGAAGTAAACAAAGCAAGATTTTCTAGGTTATAATACCCATAAGGAGTGTTGTTTTTGTATACCTCTGGGCCTCGGCGATGCTCTTAAACAATTCGTAGAAGTTTTTCACGTAGTTTTCAGGTTCAGTCTGAAGTCTATCCTGCTCACCGGGCAGCATGATGCAGTCAGTCACGGAAAATTATCATGAATCGTATGGACTTTTTACCAATTCATTTTCCCAATTTTTTCATTCTTTTTTCCTCTCGTAATATTATTGATCGCACTGTATCTCCGTTTTCACACACAGCGGCTGTCCAAGCAGTGTCCAAAGAGAGACAGACAAAGTGCCGCGGAGTACTGATGTGCCGCGCCTGATGGCGCTCAACGGTAGAAATGAAAAGTTTGTCGGTAAGGAAGTGCCGTCGATAGAAAAAAATTAAAAAATAAAAGGGCTGTGGAGAGAGGGTTTGCGAAGTGGAAACGCGCATGCGCTCGGGTGGCGCGCGACCTTCGAGGAAACTGAAATATTGGAGCAAGTGTGTAGTCCGCGATCGACAGTCGCCGTGTGCTCAAACATTTACAGGTATTATTCCTGTGTTTTTTAACGTTTCCGCGACAACAGACTATTCTCGCGCAATCGCAGTAATATCATTTACCTCCACCCGGTTTTTGACAGTTACTACGCAGTCTCTAGACAGATCCTGAAGTTGAAGAACCAAGGAAGATCCTATCCACACCCCTTTTATCCGAAATTTCACCATCCCAATTATTTTTTAATCACCACCCCTAGAAAATCAATAAACCATAGCTCAAGAATTGTTCCTTCTCAATTTGAATAAGTGTCACTTTTGTAACAGTACTCCGTGGACCAATCGTTGAAATCTTCCGTTAACATCAAACTCTCAACTATGAAAATTCATTGATTTTCCCTCGTTTGTTTGACTGACCGGGCCTTGAGAAAACCCGTGAGCGTGGCACGTGCAGTTGGTTACTCACCTTGTTGTGCCTTGTGTTGAAAAAACCCATAAGAGGAATATCTCAGCAAGATGGATTTTAAGTTCAATGTGAATAGACTCTTGCCGAGAAAAATAAACAAGGTCACACAGAGCTTAATACCGGAAGACTTCAGAGGCGATCGACGCGAATTAAAGTGAGTAATCCCCCTTTTTCGATGTTTACGTCAGATGCTGTGAGATTATTGTAATAAAAATAATCATCAAGGTTACGTTTCAATTGCAATCTTTAGTGATTGCGTGTACAGTGTACTTTCACCGAATGCAAGTCCTACTACAATCATTTCGCACTGCATAAATGATGGTGATTTAAACGTCGTAGTATTCTTCCTCTTCCCTATTACAAATGATCGTTGGAAATAAAAATTCAAACATTCCATATTCAATCGTTTGCTCATAATGATAAGAGACGATAAGCGCGTCATTTCTTTACCTAAATGGCATTCACTGATTGTGAGCCGTCTGTTGGGTTCAGTCATCTCTGAAGATGTGGGCGGAAGAGGTAACGCCAGTGGGGCGCACCGCGCCACTTTCGATCACATTGTCTCCTTCATTATTCAAGAAAAAAAAACTAGCATACCTGAAAATCTGTCCAGAGTATCCCTCCACGTCCGCGACTAGGCCATTTCCGTGGAGTAGCGGGATAAACATCAAGACTTCATTCGAGCGAGCACAACGGATGTTAAATACTTCCTACGTAGGCTCCTTTCATTTGCCTCCTGCTTCCTCATCTCTGCCACTAGAAATTCGAAATTTTTGCATTATTTCATTACACTCAAATTACTGAAGTTCACTTTGATGAATATTTGATACGCGAATGAGCCATACGGCGTGCAAAGTAGGTAAAATGAATCAACATGCGGGGTCTATAGATTCTCCTAATAAGTGTTTTGTATATTGATCGCCCTAAATTTTGGAGTAAAGGCTGTAAGAAATAATGAGCGTGGCCCACCTCTGACACAAATAAGGAAACCTGTAATCATTAGTTAAATCAACTTGGGGGGATTATTTTAATAAATGATGATAATGTATTGATTGTAACCAGTTGATTACCGGGCGCCCTCGATTGACCCTGACTTGTACAACACATTGACACGAATATCCCCAGTGAAAAATCAAGTCACTTGCCTGTGATTACAGAGCGTATCATTATCAGTGATTCTGGGAAAATCCAACAGCAGTCGTGTGAAAGCAACACTAGTACATTCTTATTTCCTAACTGTACAAGTAACCCGCAACCCGTAAAAACCACAATTGAAACTTTCCACGATCATGCTCCGTTCGGTCGAAAACATAATGATGATTCACTCTATTGTTAACTAACGGTGTCTACGCCAATTAGCCATCGTTCCTTCGTTATTGCTCGCTGCAACATCCTGTACCAATTTAAGTTGGGGTCTTTTTTAAATTTATTTTTACTTTGGGCTCACGGAGCGCGCCTAGAGCGTTATAAACTTATTCAAAAGGTTCTCGAACTCAGCTGCTAGCATCGCGTGACGCCAAACAATAGGCAAAGTTTCACGAAAATAAATTGCATTCCATGTTTTTTTTTTTTATAATGGTGGAAATCCTTGGGCATGATGCAACTGTGGTGGAAAAACATTCCTGATAACACTGTGTACTTGAATTTTTCAGTCAGGTTGAGTTAAGTTTCCGTTAAAAAAAAATTCCATTTCACTAACAAATTGAACAGATCATTAACATTGCGAAAAAATTCGTAACGCGAGCATAGTACCTATTACTAGAATTCTGGAATAATAAAAAACATTCTCTCCACCTTCTTCACTATGTTTAATGACAGTGTAATTTTCTTCTTCGTGTAAAGTGAATACCAGAGGCAATTATCAAGGATCTTGGACGAGATGGGTGAGGCATCAGCAAGAGCCCAGGGTCTGAGCAAGCCAATAACAAGTGCTATGAAGCTCCGAGACACTGACCACATCGTTTATCTTCTCGTTGACGCCGAGGGCAATGGGTAATTGATCATTAATCAATAGATCGTTGGAGTTTAATAGGAGGGCCTGCAGCTCTTCATCTCAACGCTGAAATTCCTCATTTTCAGGGGTCTCGGGTGTGTCGTGGGCCTCTTGAAGACTGGCTCCAAGAATCTCTTCATGTTCGATGACGGTGGAGTGCATTTCCAGTTACAGCCGAGATGCATTCTCGATTTTTACATTCATGAAACTAGACAACGCATGGGATTGGGAAAGGTTCTCTACCAACATATGCTGATGGTGAATTGAAAAACAATAGTTGCCGGGACAAGCATAGTAAGCCTGTTGGAGTTGTCAGCAATGGTTTGTTACAGGAAGAGCGTATGAGGCCTGTGAAGCTGGCGATCGATCGTCCGTCCGAGAAATTCCTGCAATTCCTGCATAAGCATTACGGGCTCGAGAAGATCATACCACAGAACAATAAATTCGTCGTGTTCCAAGGCTTCTTCGACGATGGTAATGCATTATTCTCCGTTGAATCACTGAAAGAGCGCTCCATTAATGTGCCTCCGAGTCTCAAACGAGAAGAGGAAAAACCCGAAAACATCAAATTCGGTCAATGTCGTCCATATACGTTGAAACTGGAGTGCACGCCTTTCCATTGATTCGGTCAGGGACATGGACTATAGCCAGCGTAAAACCGCTCTCAATTAAAATTGCCTCTAAGCTCGATTGATTTGACCTGGCATATTTGCATACGGGAAAATTTGATGGTTTATTGAGGGTAAACTTTTTCCTTCTTTTCAATGTTTATTCTTTCAGAGTTCCAAGACGTTAGGGGCAATCGATACAGTTTACAGTCGCGAGGCTCTGTGGACAGCTCAGCGTATAACAACAATGAGATTCGAAAATCTCAATCAGCTAGGTAATTTTTTTTCGTAGGGGCAATGGGGGTAAAAGGGACACTTTGTTTTTTGGAGTGTTAATTTTTTTTTTTTTCATGGGAAATACAGTTCTCGCCTTTCGTGCTGTAAAAGTGTCTATTTTATCCCACCCTCCCCCAACTATAAAAATTAAATTTTTAATAGGTCTTTAACATTTGGGAATTGATGATTTAAAATGAATGTTGCAGCATTAATGGACACACAACCCCCCATTCAGCAGCCCCACGAAGCTCCTATGGACGTTACGCAGCGGCCAGGCCACAATGTTCCATGGCCAATGTACGATGAATATATTTCCATTGAAACATGTATTAAATTATCCTCCGAACCACCTACTTTCCTGCGCGCAATCAATTACACCTCCACTCACCCATTGCCACTAATAACTAACGCTTCTCTCCTTCCAGATAATTCATAATGCCCCAGTTTTTGGCCAGACAACCGAACGAACTGGGTGAGTAAGCGACTGAATAGTGAAAAATTAGAAGAATTAAAAAATTACTGACAAATGTGGAGTCCATATGCCACGAAGATTAATTCAAGTGCTACACTGTGCATCATGTACTTGCATTGGTCATTCATTTAACTCATATCGAGTCACTGAGCAATGTTGTATCTGTCTAATTTCACTCTACCACACACTAAGAATAAATCCTGCTATTTTTGTAATACGTTCACTGAGCATTCCTCTTAGTGATCCAAGCAGGCATGTGATTATTTCTCCTCTAATTAGTTAGGAAAATCAATTTTTATGGTTAAGACTAATATATTCATTATATTTGGCTCTAAAAATTTCAATATTTATTACGCCATATGATTTTACGTGTAATTGCTGGTTATTTATTTTCAAAATGTGACTTATTTTTGTACTTTTCACCTGAATGTGCATCACTTTTATTAATTTATACATTAAATGCAGCTGTTTTCGCAATTATGATTTTTGTATTATTTCTGTACCCATTTTTTTCACTATAGTATCATCTTATCCCACATTCTATCCTCACGATCCTGCCCAATTGTTTATCTTTATGTAGTTGTTATGCCAGAGAAATTGAGCAAAATTATTCGAATGTTGTAATGCTTCTAAAAAAGAGCGAAAAATATTCTGTGAATAGAATAAATTTTTGTAGTGAAATACCGTCAACCCCTGGTCCCAAAGTGGAACGTCCTCGTTCCCTGAGTCTCTACTCTGAGGATGAGCACAGGACTCGTCCCCAGGAGACGAGCAATGCACCAACTCCTGCGGCTGAGTACGTGCCCCAGCCAACGCCTTTCGTGGCACTACGACCAATACCAACGCCTGCTCCACCACCTGTGGCAGAGCCAGAACCCGTGCCCGAGCCCGAACCAGAGCCAGAACGATCTCCGAACCCCGAGCCAATTCCCAAAGAGATTGAGCCTGTAATTCCCGTTCACGTCGAGGAGAGACCAGCAACGAGTGTAAAAGCATCGCCATCTTGTGCACAAGAAGTTGGTGGTAATCAGTCAGGACACTTGGACCTCAAATTCTATCATTCTCCTTTGTGGTAGAGAATGTGAAACACCAATTTCCACATGCTTAGAAAAATGTTTTGAGAGTTCTTGAATTTTAATTGCTTTTGCAAGAATTATTGCCAAAGAAATATCTGTAAAAATGCAGTAACTCTAGTAAAAATTCGAATATTTGAGTAATTTTTTTTCTAATTTTTACTAGAGTTATTGCATTTTCTACAGCATTATCAAAAATTCAGGGAGAACTTTCAATAATTCTTCTCTACGTGCCGCCAATTCGAACATAAGGAAAATAAGCTAATTAATAAAATTACTTCACTGACAATTTTTTCAGTAAAAAATACGCAATTTGTATATTTAGATCACGGTGTGGAGTTTATGTTCTTGTGTTATTCAACCACTTTCTCCTTTTCGGTCCGATAGCATTGAACAAAATTAGCATTGTAGAAGACAAATAATGACAAATTATCTGTAGAAATTACTGGCAACGCACAGCCGCCTGAATTCACATCGCTCTAAACTCACATTAAAAACATTAAAAAATTTAGATATGCTATTCCTCGCCCCTTATTTATTTGTATATAGAATAAACCGTACGAAATTGAATTAAATAATTCAAAATATACGTCATAGAATTATAATAAAAATAATGAAGAACTCATGAAAACCCTTTTACTCATTACAATAGAAATATGTGAATAACAAGAAAAAAGATTGAACATGCAATCAAAAATCAGACATGGGGATAAAAATATTGAAACTCGATACAAAATATTCACAACAATCTTGATATGATATTTTACAGAATAAAGACTCGGTTAAGACATCAATGCGCCTTCTTATTTATAACGAAGGGAAGATGTAGGAATGAGTACTTCTAATTACTCCAATTGAAACGATAATTACTTTCTGATCAATTATAAAAATATTAACACAGAAGGATTAACTCATACGTGGAATTCACCCCCCTCAAGTTTTTCATCAGTCAACCAAGACACGAGACCTAGGCAAGTATCAGCTTCCAGGTACATCATACCTATCAACAGACCATTGAGTAAACCCAAAGCAATGCCTGCTAGTATATCGAGAAGGTGATGTCTCCTCATCAATAATCGGGAGAGACAAACGGATATGGTCCAGGCGAGCAAAGGAGGGATAAAGACAAAGGAAACTGGCCAGAGATTGATGAAGAAATAGGTGATGAAAGTCGTTCTAGAGGCATGACCAGATGGAAACGAGTATTTGTCTGGTCCCACAGCAAAGGGATCATCGCTCTTCAAGGGCCTTCGTCTTCGTGTAACTGCCTTTAGAATAGCAATCAAAAAGATATCCAGCAAGAGCCCTACAAAAAAATCATTTAGATGTTGAAGGAAGAGCTAATGCTAAATTAATGAAGCTTTAGTTTACCTAGAAATAAATTGACTTGCATCTGATACAAATTTTTGCTGTTAACAATCCATAGTAATGCCAACCACCCGGCGAGCCATGGAATCCCATGCGCTGATATCTATTTTCATACAAAAAAAATTCATCAACATTTCATTCTGCATAGTTTTTATTTTTCACTTGGGAAATTCAGGCGTTACCTCCAGCAGTTTGCAGTGAACTCTGAGCTGTCGAAGAGGCGAAATTCTCTCGAGTTTTTTGACGAATTCATCAGTGACGTATGCATCAACTGCTAGAATTTTTCGCAAGAGCGAAGGGACCTCTCTCTTCTCCTGATTTGAAAGATAAATTTATTTGGAGAATTGGGATAGAAAGATGCGAAGAAGGGAATAAAAATAAACAAGGGGATTTCCTGACCTTCTCCATTGAATTCCTGTGGAATGCACTAGAATTGCTGCTGCCTGCAAATGCGCAATTCTCAGGTTAGAACGTCTAACCAATCAGAATAACCGCGATCAGCTGATCTAACCGCCACAATTCTGTTTACACCTAGTGCTCGATCACAAAACAAAAGTGACAAAGGAACTTGTGAATCGAAAATCAGGCTGCATATATTTAATTGTGCAAAGAACATCTGTGATCCCAGTTCTTCCTAATTAAATATTGAATTATTCGATCAATCTCCACCACTCCAGAAAATATAACCCAGTGTATTATTAATTCCACTTCCACATTTGTACACAACTATTACTTCAACAATGCAGAAAGAAAAACCCACAACACCAACTATGAGGAGAGCCCAAACGTAATGATTTTTCATTAAAAATACTCCAAAAGATTTTGAAGTATCATATCGAAACTATTGATTTATGAATATGTATTTTGTTGGTTAGCATCGCCAGAACTCGAACTCCGGATAGAATAGATGCAGCATCAAGAGCTCGAAATCGTGGACAAGTCAGATGTCGAGCCACGATGGCACCTGCAGATTTTGCAGTACCAGGTGAATTAAAATTTCATCTTTTAAATGCCCTCAATGATATCATTAAATTTGTGTGGGCTGTGAATTTATTGCTCAATCGTATTCTCAGAATGCTTATATTATTTCTGTTCTTTTCCTCTCTTCACTTCATTGTGAGTTTCTTTTGTATTATTTTTTTTATTCTTCTTGCTTCACAGGTACCTAAAACCTTATTTCTCAATTGTATTCACTGAATGTTTTTTTTTTCCTTCTCCGATAGTCTTCTCTATTTTCTTTAATCCATTATGAATTCCTTTTGTATTATTTTTGGATATTGTTGCTCCAAACAGACCACAAATAAATAACAAATAAATAATAAATAGATAGATAAAACGCATCATTGAAATTTGCAGGGGCACCGATGCCAAGAAGAAATCCCGCCATGAACATGAACATGACTAGGATATCAATAATGCCAACGAGTCAGTTGGACAGTACAAGACGCCTTGAATCCGAGGCCCACAATAATGAACTGGGTTTGCTCTACGACAAATACGCCCAAACACTGGCAGAGGAGCACATCGTCAGGAAGAAGATTGAGGAGAGAGAGAAAATAATAGTGACGCAGTTATCAGCATTGGCGAAGGAGCAGGAGCAGTGCGATCAAAAACTTTATGACATTAGAATGAAACAATTAGAGGTTTCTGCATTGAATGATATTCAGAGGAGTTCGGACGCTCAAATTAAGGAAATCACAGCTCTTCTCAGTAATATGATTTTTATGAGAAGAAATAATGCATTATTTTTCGTATAAATTCGATTCATTCATTTTTTTCATTCTTACAGAGACTTATCAGGGAAAACCCGTGGAAACCCTTGGCCAGATTCAATCTATACTAAAATCCTTGGACACTCTCACTTGTAAAGATGTGATAATTCCGAAAACAACAGAGGAAATGGAGAAATTCTTCGCTAATCTTGAGAAATGCAATGAATTTTTGGTCTTCATGAATTCAACGATAGGAGACAAAGGCAAGACGATAAATACGGGGAACCAGGGTCTCAAAAATTTCCTTCAGACTCATGAAAATCTCCAGAAATATATGGAAAAGTGAGTAGAACTATCGCTTCCGTGCAAGTATTTCCCTAATATTTGTTGTAAAATTGAAAAAAATGCATCTGTTTTTTTTTCAGTTTGGAAGATGCTATCGAGGCTGTTCAGATCGAAGTGTTGAAGACCATCTCCGCAGCTCTGATACCTCACCAAGAGCAAACAATGTTCAATTCATAATGACATTACTTCATGCATATTTTCTTCATATTTTAAATAAAGTTCATTTTTCCGTAAAATTTGCTGGAAATTATGGGAATTATTGACTCATTACCTAGTGATTTTGCGTAATAGATGGAAAAAAATCGCCATTTTTATTATCCCTGTAACGTGCACACCTACAAAACCCACATATAGAAAGATGCACAGGCTCCGGTGCAGTCCCGCAGCGTCCCCTTCCTTTCTCGTGAACCTATCACCCCATCACCCCTTCATGTACTCATTCCTTAAAAGCGCATGCTCGTCATTTCGCCATATTTAATTTTTCTCAAATTTCCCATCTTTTTTCAATAAATAAGAGAAATGTAAAAACCCAGCATCCCCTCATCAATCCCATTCCCCGAAATACATCAGAGTAGCCAGATAAATCTCAATGATCCATGACTATCGAATCCCCAGAATCACCGAGAAAATATGAAAAATATAATGGAAAAGGATTTTTCCGCCACGCAATTTTATTCTGCGCATGGAAAGCAATTTTGCCCAATCATAAATAGGGCTATTGTGGGGGGACGGTTGTATGTTGGCGCATTTCATACATCCCCGAGTGTAATGGTAACCAGATAGAGGCGTCGTGAGGCTATCGGCCCGGGGTAACCACGTAAATATCCAGTAGTCTGTATTTTCAGTGTTGCAAATTTTTCCCCCATTTTTTTTCCAATCGCTTCAGCCAAGTGTTACCCTGATTATGAATGAAATTGATCAATGAGTGAAGTGCATACGAGTCCTGAGTGCATGTGAGGACACGCGGCCAAGTGATCCGTGACGTCAGTGGTCCAATCGGTTGTCACCTGTCAAGCCGACTGAATCCTTACCTCCCCACCCCCCATTCCCAGCACCTCCCTCTCCCGCCGCACCACCTCAATCCCCCGAGGCAGGTCCTCCAGTGGCGCCTTGACTGTTCCCTCCGTCCAAACCCCCGTCGCCCCCTTTGCATCAACCCCCCCCCCCCCCCCCCCC